TAAGCCCAAACTTCAGATCCTTAGGCCAAATATGCCTAAGATTCATAAGGTCTAAAAATTTATCACTTGGGACGTCCATAAAGCTCTTAGTCCAAGGTCTTAATCCATTAAGACCTATTTTTCTCACACATGGAACAACTACAGCCCTTGGGACCTTATTTTTCTCACTAAAGACCTCTCCAAAGGTCTGAAAGGACAGATAATCTCGGCCAACACAAAGCATGAATCAAGATGAGAGCTTTGGGATAAGAAAGATGCTAAAAACTCCACAAGACTTAGATCTATGCAAAATAGATGGCAAGCAAGAAGCTTTATACCTCAAACAAGCTCCAAAGGATGGTATCTCTTCAGATCTACAAGCTCCAATCGTTCCTCTTCTTTGTTGACAACTTCTCCTTTCTCTTTCTAGCCTTTCTTTTGTCAAAATGAGCTTTACAAGGTCAAACGCACCCAACAATGGAGAGAATACGAGTTTCTAGGGATTCTGAGGTTAAGGATGAGCTTATTGAGGCTAGGCTATGAACCAACATGTTCCTTATATAGTGTCTGACCCTAAATTAGGGTTTGAGGTTTCTGAGAGTAAGCTGGGCGTACTTCTAGTACGTTGGGCGTACTCACTTAGCCAACCCGCATTTTCTCACCATTACGCTGGGCGTACATCCAGCTTACGCTGGGCGTACCCAGCCAAAACCTAAAACTTATGCATGCATGACATGCATGCATGGGACCTTTTCCACTTATTCCACGAAGAAGTATAAAGAATAATCATCTTCCAAACGCCGCAACTCCTCTACTCTAAACCCGCTCCCAAATAACTTTACATTCATTCGAGGGTGACGAGAAGCCCAATGCTTCTAACAACATACGCCAGCCCGAAACCTTCTCGGATGAAACCCCTTTCCCATAAAAGGACCAGAATTACCCTTCCTCTTAAATCTCAGGGACTCATAATTAAACACTTTAAGAACGGGGTGTTACACTTAGTGGTGTGTTGGTAGGTTAACTGAGAGCCTTTATTCAAATACTCTTTTGCAATATGAAAATAGCTTCTATATAGATTTTGATAGACGACAACAACATATGCGCAACCAAACTTCATGATTTATGCTTGAAGGAACTACTCGAACCAACCTGGAATCTCTAGAAAATACACTGATAAAGAAATTTGGGAGGTAGAAAAAATATAAATGTTATACTTATGCTAAATGACCTACTAAATTCATTCATTTTGCTGCTACTATTAGAATGGGCTAATTTTCTTGGGTAATATTCTATGCATTCTTTATTGGTTAATATTCTATGAGCATTTGTCTATATAATTTGCAATTACCAAAATTTTATCGAAGATGTTATTATAGCGATAAGTACACTATGCTTAAAAACATTGGTACCTATTTTTAGATTTCTTATATTGTTTTCTATTTTATTTTAATAATCACATTTCATTCATCATTTTAATTTGTAATTTATTGTGTTGTCCTTATATATGTTTATTTCATTACCGTCATTCTTGATTTCTAATATAACAATGTCATTTTCTAATTTTTATGATTTATTGTGTTTTTTTAATATATTCATATTTATATTGTATTGTACAAAATCATGATTTTATCAAATATCTACATATGAAGATCCTAGATTGGATATTCATAACAATGTATAAATTAATTTTAACAAATCATTATAAACATACATACTAAACTTTTATCATTCTAAATTAATAAATTGTTTGGAATAATCAATAGTTTGTAATTATCATAGTTTTTTTTTTTTTTTTTTTTTTTTTTTCATTTTCAACCGTAGTTCTATGGTTTTGAACCTAGTATTCATATACTACACGGGATCATGTTTATCATTTTACCGTAAAAAGGTTATTAGTTGCCATATTTCGTTGCAAATATATAGGAATGCTGAATGCGTATAGAATATAAGGGAAAAAAGTAATTTCGCTTACCATTTCACAAATACCATTGAGATTGCACATGTATAATTTTGATTCTTTACTAGTTTATAATCAATGAGAATCACAATTATAAAGTTAATTAAACTTTCGTAGTAAAAAACTTAAAATTATTAACTAACTATTTCAAACTAGATCGGGAACCCCCGCGTTGCGGGGGTCGGATCCAAAACAATAAATAAGCAGCTTTAAATATATACTTTATGTTGTTTTGCATTGCAAGTTTGTACCTTCATTCCCAATCATCTTTGATCTCTTTTATAATCAGTAAAACACATCTTTGATCTCTTTTTGAAATGCTACATTTTCCTACTTCTATAGTCAATAAAGACAAATTTAATAATCCAAGATTATAAGTTTAAAATAATAAAAGATGAAATTGCAGGCTATTGAAGTAAACAATTTGTGTTACAACTTAAATCCGATATTTAAAGCTTGAAATCAGCCTCAAACCCGTTTGACGGAATCTACAAATGAAGGAGAATGAGATAATATACGAAGAATGACCAATATACCCTTCAAAAAGTTGGAGTGCATAAGATAGGATTTCGTGAACCACCTTCTCTGTGTTCTTTTCCAATCATGTAGTAAAACTCTTCGGCACATCCCAAATGGTCTTCTCCACCCTAGAATATGAATTAGCTGCTACATATACAACAACTTTCTAAAGTAGGTTTTCCGTGTTAAATCGTAAAGTTATACTTTAATGCGGCGATAATGGATGCACAATTTGTGTTAGCTATCACCTACACATATATAAAATTATAAATTAGAAGTTAACATGTAAAGATTTTAGTTTGAAAGCAAGGAAATTTAAAGAATTAAGAACATGAACATACAGTTGTAACAAATATGGTTTATGAATGTGTAAAAATATGTTGACAAATAGCTGAAATAATCATAAATTAGAAACACAACAATAAATTTTACTAACCTGGTTATAGATAAAGAAAGAAACAAAAGCTTACATCAAAACTGGAACCATGATTTGGTTTGTTTCCATCTACGGCCTTGTATAAAAAAATCCTTTTTAAGGGTTTAAGTCATTTTCTGCAAGGAGAGTTGTAAGTTTCATATTAACATACGGAAAAAAATATAGAAAATAGTTGATGCGAAACTTTATAAACTTGAACTCAACTCTTGATATAAGTTGTTGGGGGTCGGATTAAAAGTTTTTTATTTGTTGATTTGTCTTTGTTGAGAGGATAAAACAGATGTGAATGTTGTCTGGTATAGGTTTTTTTTACAACTGAGGATGAGTACATACATGATTGGTCTTTCTTATCTATTTTTATGTTGAAGAGTGTTAGTAATGTGACAAAATTTTGACTTTATGTTTAAATGTTGACCATACCGTTTAGTATCCGACAACGGAATAGACAATTTCCAGGAGAAGAAATGTTCATATACGTGCTTCACATGTGGTTTGCTATGTGCGAGCATTAAGGTTTATATATGAAATGAGAAAATAGACATAAATGATAGATTATATTTCTTAGAGATCAATACAAGGCTGAACCATGGAACTGTTCATAAGCATAGCATCAAAAGAGGAAACGATTTACAGAGATCATGGATAATAAGATGACAAAAGATTTCGTGATTTTGTTGTTGTTGATTAGTCTATGTAAGGTTGATCGTCTTCTGGAAGTGTTTTGAGTAGTTTCTTGAGCTCCTCGATGGTTGTTTCGGTTTCCTTCTTTAGACTGTAAATCACCATGATTCTTTTTTATGCCACGTACGTACTGTTGTTGACGAGGTCCTTCATCTGTAGGTAGTTGGTGTACTTTGGCCGGCGGCTCATGTTCTCCAACAGTTCGTTCTTCATCTCCTGGTTGAAGTAGAAATCGCTTTGCAGGTTTGTTAGAGCGGACAACTCTTCCTCCGCCTGGCCAATCAGCATATGAATGATGCTTTCCATTTCAGCCGGTTTCATTTTGTGGGAATAGGTTTTTGCTTTTCGTTTTCCGATGGGTTGTGTGATTGGATGTGGTGTGGAGATGTTATGGGGTTTATTGATTATAGGGATTGTTGAAGCTGTTGATTGTTGAAGAGGGGTATTAAATGGGATGCGAAAGGGCGAAGGTTTTTTTGTGTGCGTAACCGGCTGCAATCGATTGCTATGTGCATTTATTGTAGGTGATGTAAGGCTATTTAGGACTAACGTGATTGTTTGGTTGTAGGAATGCTGATGTTTATCGTTTACATATTCTAATTTTTTTGTGAAGGTTTATATTTTTATATCATTGTTATGCAAAGATGTTATAAATTTTGTTGGTCTGTCCGTTTATCACGATTGTTCTCATTTTGAAAAGAAGATAACCCACAATTTAGTTATTGGATAAACGATCTAACTAATTTTTATATGATATGTATACAAAGTTGTTGTAGTTGATGGTTTCTTTAAAAGTGGAAGATGTAATTTAACTTTTAAACATTGGACCCATTATAAAAAAAAATGTATGGTTTTTTTTATGTAATTTCATATTTGGAAAGGTAGTGTTATAATTGAAAGCTGTGATAATAGACGTTTTCTTTGGAAGTGTCTTAATAGGGAAAAAGCATGTAATGAATTTTCATATGATTTTTGTTGAGTCTGAATATATATTTGGAAAACCTGTTCCATAAGCATGTAGTTTAACCTTTGGACCTTGGGGTGATTGGGTGATGGCATGATTTTTGTTTTGTAATGAAGCTAGGATATTTGTTTTTGTGTATAAAATTTTTGTTTGTGAACACTGTCGTCATCATTCATGATTGTCTTAAATTATGTATTTGGTGTATATAGAAAATAAACAAAAGGTATATATTTTTTTGTTTAATAGAAAAGCATACTATATGTGGGAAACCATCTAGATTAAAGACATATATGGTAAGCTGCTATTCGATTACAATACTAAATAATCCAAAAAGCAAATATGTTTAACATATACTAACATATGGTTAAGACACCACGACAATATTAGTTGTTGATGGTTTTAAACGTAGCAAAAGTTGAACAGGTTACAAAAGAACGGAGTGTCATTTTATGGGTGTCTGTTTATTTTTTCAGGGTGCGTTTGACATCTCCTGAAGGCGCCGACTCATCTGTAAGGTGTTAACCAACAATATCATAAATGGATATTTAATGAAAGTGATATGTGTGTTTATGTATGTGTATGTACCGTTTGCAGTAAAAGTGAGGGTACGTGCAGTATGTCCTTTGGTTGTATCTGACAAAGGGGGGCAGTGTTCCACTGCGGACCTTGTTATTAGAGGTTGTGATGGAGTTGCTGAAATAGCTGATTGTTGGCTTGTTACTGGTATCTCTATGTCGATTATGATGAACCGTACATTATCGTCAGTTGATGTTTTTAGCATTTGAATAGACATTGTTCTTTGTTTCCCCTTGTGCTGACTGATCATCACTAGTAAGGTCTTTCTGTGAAGAGCTATAATGTCGTCTACTGTATGCTCTGAGTCTGAATTTATGAGTTTCCGAAATGATGTTTCAGATATGACTGCTGACATCGTGGCAGTTGGATCACTTATCGTGACATGGAACTTGTGCCTACACGATGTTTTTATCTGTTATTATGTTTTGTAATACAATAGGATGTTGCAGGGTTAGAGGTTGGTACGTACGTTAGTATGGGTTTTTCGATCTTTGAGTGTGCACTGTAGTACCATTGCGTTCCCCTTTTGAAGATTGGATCCCTACAGGTTGGACATATCATTTGATACCATTTGTCCTGGAACACAATGTCTGCAATGGATTCTTTCACTAAAAACATTTTGTCCTGTATGTAACCAACATTGTTAGTGTTTATAACAGACATGAAGTTATGTTTCAGCTGAGGGTTGTGTAGGTTTACCAGGAGTTGTGATCATGATTTTTCTATGATTTCTTTCAACTTGGCTGGTATCCCTGCTAGTGTTGTTGATGGTCGATGTGGACCACTATACCTGCAATGTTGTTGATGTAAATGTGATCCTTGTTTTTGGGTTAAATGTATTTATATATTTTGGTTGGTTCTAAGTGTTTACAGATTCATCAATTCTGTGGTTTTTGGGATTTGCGGATTTACATACACATGCGTAGCATGTGAGGATCCGTGACGTAATGTTCCTACAATAACAATTTCAATTGTAATAAGCAACATATATCATATTGTGGTTATGATATATTAAAAAATGCGTGACATACCTCCAAAAAGTGAAGGTTTTAGATTTGTGACTGCTACAACTGTCATAGCAGGGGGTGGCGTGATTAGACTCCGATTGAATTTCCTAGGATTCGTAAAGCATTCTTTCCATAGATTTATTAGGACCTCATTGCCTCTAAAAGATTGAGAAATCATTTTTTCAGCTGTGTTGTGATGATTTTGTTAGGGTGATATATTACGTGTTATTAGATGTACCTATCATCAGTTAGAATAAGAAGAACATACGGTTGGCCAACATGTTTTGTGGAGTCTCTGATCTTGGACAGCATACCAACAAAATCTAAAAAGGTGGACAGATAAATGGTTACTTTCTATGAGTGAAACCAGTTCCATATATTATGATGCTACCTGGATCATATGGTGGATGTTCCCCAGGTTCTGTTAGTTGCGATTTAGAAGCAAAACGAAACCAAGTAGCGGGGATGGTTATTGTATTTGGAAGTGGTTTTATAATGGAGCTGAGGCCAACATCTATGTAAAAATCGTTCTCCAATACTTTTTGATATTTATGTAATTTAGGACAACTGTATTTTGATATGGTGTAACATTCTGATACATTAAGTACCGATTCTATGTATGATTGGTTCGTACGTTGTCCTAGGATCTGTATTGCATCTCCCTGTGTAAGAAAAATAATATGGTTGAAATTTTGATTAACCAATATGTGTCACGCTTAATAAAAGACTGTAGTGTCTTTGGTTTTTGTTCACTTACAAATCTGTCAACCCGAATAAACCAGGTTTCATATCGACGGACATCGTGCTTCCATTTGCAAACAATTCTCAATTCTATTGGACTTCCAATTCCATCGCACTTCAATTTGGATATGCTGGTCATTGTTTGCTGTTCGTTTCTGACAGTAGGTGAAATGTGTTAGTAACATTCCATTTTAAATTTATATAATGACCCTATGTAAAAGATCATGATCTATTCTGTAGTTTACTACATATCTGTAATACACATAAATATTCGTTGGTGTCTAATATTGAATGACTATAGTCAAATGACAATATCAACGGGATGATAGTATGCGGTGATGATGTGGGACACCTCAGTTGCAGTGATATTTTGTAATAAGTCTCTATACACAACATTTTTTGTTTCGTTGTACGGCATATCATGATCTCTTTCTATAAGGATCTTCAATGAATCTGGGGAAGTTGCTCTAGAAAGTGCTACATACAACTGCCCATGTGAGAAAACAGGTTGAGACTAATAAACACCGATCCGTTTCAACCGATCTGAGGATGATGTTGTTGATATTATCGGTGGCTTCATTAGTTGGACAGACAGTCGCTCATGTTGATAGATCAATTACTGTGGGAGCGTTAAGTAATTTTGTGTCATATACAAAACATATCAGTTGTTGTAGTGAGTCATGAGCTGGAGGTATCAGCAATGAATGAGGGATCTGAATCAAAGACGTGTCGCGTGGATCATCTGGATCAGGCCGTCCAACTATGCCCTCACCAATTTGAAGTAGCCATTCGGAAAAGAAGGCTGTTGACATTGTCTGCAGATTCCTATCCTCATTGGAACTGCGCCTCATGTTTTGAGTCAACGTTTGAATGTCGAAAAACTTCCATAGATATGAGTTTGGCAGTGTAAGATCTATGATTTGGGATCGTGTGCCTTTTGGTAAAACGCGTAGTGTTTGTCGAAAGTCACCACCAAGAAGGACCGAAATACCACCGAATGGCTTCCCGTCACAATCAAGTACATCCCGTAAAGATATATCAAGATATTTAAAGCATCGCCTATCACTCATAGGGGCTTCATCCCATGTGATGAGTGATGTATGTTTCATAAGATCGGCTAGTGATGTTCTTTTTTTTTTATATCGCATGATCTGTTGCTGGCGAGATCAATTGGTATCTTAAATCTCGAATGCGTTGTGGTTCCAGAAGGCAAAAGCAATGATGCTATTCCGGAAGTGGCAACTGCAAGAACAACCTTTCCGAGCGATCGAAAAAAAGAAAGAATAGTTATCCAAAGGAATGTCTTTCCGGTACCCCCATGGCCATAAACGAACATAAGATGCTGTTTGTTAGCTTCTACACAGGAAACAACACTTCCATAGATCGCCATCTGCTGCGTATTTAGTTGTGGAAGCAACTATGCATGCTGATCTGCCAAAACCCTTTTTTCGTAAGTCATCTCTTCCAGGAGTAGTCGATTTTGGAGAATTCTATGCATAACAGGTGATGGCATGGGCAAATTGAAATGAGCAAGTGATCATGCTGGAATAGAAGAAGATAGCATGTCTTCTAGATCATGAAGTAGTTGCTGACGAACTACATCATCTATTGCAGAGAAAGCCTTATCAGGTAATGTTGATTTTAATCTATAAATGTAGTCATCTGACATTTTTTCATAAGCCTTTTGCCACAAAAGGTTTGGATTTGTAACTTCACAGAATAATAACAAACTACAAAAAAGAAGACGGAGTTGGAATGGTGTTGCCCATGTAGAAGCATCATTGAACGCAGCAAGCCACTCAATGTCATCCCCTATGATTCCAGGCGCATTACATGCAGATCTGTATGTAGGTTGAACAAAACCAGATACGGTTTGGAGGTCTTCAAAAGAGGCACAACCCTTTTGGTGACACAACAACAACCGCATATAGAACAATTCACCAGATGATGGATGCACAAATACAAGATGACCAACCATGTTAGATCAAACAGCTGCTCTCCTATCCCACGATTTGGAAGGGGCATCCCACTTGTAGTATTTTGGATAATCAATATATGTGTGCTCATGACCCGTCGGGTCCTTTGCGTTGCTTTCAAACCATGCTAAAAGGGTTGCCCTAGTAGCAGATGGATTACGGAGAACTTGTATTATTGTTGTGTCTTCCTTGAAAAGAATTGACTGATTATTTTCTTCATGAACTGAGAGTATCTGGACCGTTGGATTTCGGTGATGTATAGGGAAATCAAATATTCGCCATGCTGCTTCATGTAGACAAATATATCTACCATCCAAATATGTTTTATCTCATCGATGCGTTGCTTTTCTTCACACATGACATTCGGTTGTTCATTTACAGTCTTGCTTGGTCCAACATCATTCACACCTACATCCTTTGGAATGACATATCTAACACGATCTACACAGATATAGAAATCCGTTATATACGAAAAGGGAAACAAATCGAAATGGGAATTAACAAATAGTTATAAACTATTAGGAAACAATGTTGAGCACACTATAGAAGTGAAGTAATAATTGATAAACAAAAAGAATGCTTATACATACATGCATCAATTTCTCCAAAAGGTTTATCCTGCTTTAGGTAATTTATGAGGGATTGTACTTTCAGCTGGAATACTCTAGCAATGATATATGTTCTGCTTTGCGAGTCTCTCTGATCATGCATGTCCATATACCGTGTAATCTCCGGCCATTTGACATTGCATGTAAATGTAATGAAATACTGTGGATTCCCGTGTAGCCTACAGATCGCTAAAGCATCTTGATAGTGGCTATACATATAACATGGACCACCAGTAAAAGATGTTGGTAGGAACACACGTTTTCCAACTGATCGGGAACCTCTATCACCTTTCGATAATGCATCATAAAGGCCTCCAACATATTCGGAACGAAGGGTTTCCTGATGTGTTGCATAAAACTGGAGATGACTATCTTCAATACATGTAACGTGGACCACCAGTAAAAGATGTTGGTAGGAACAGACGTTTTCCAATCTAGAAGAATTAAAAATAGCATACCATATGTACTGACGTCCGTGAAGGTGGTATGCATAATACATATTTAGCGTGAGGTTTTTAGCTCCAGCATCAGTTCTGTTTCCTAATCTCATGGCTGGACACCAACCGGGCTCACGGTACGGAAACAAAAGCAGGTAATTCAGAGGCATATAGGTAGGGTGTAGCTTACTAATACGCTGAGGACGACCTGTGTTGGAATGAATGACAATGTCGTAACGATCACCAGCATACGCATCACCTGTAACAATACAACCTAAAGATCCAGGTGTAGGTAAATCATACCTACGATTAGCAATGTTATTATACAGACGAACTGAATATGATGGGATGTTCATCTCATCTGCAAAACTGTTTTGCAGTCTTAAACGTCCGTACGTATTCGTTATTTTCAGTGAGAAAGGACACAAGAAACCTAACCACGCCCTCATCCAGAAGGTTTTTCTGATGATTTTTAAACGATTTCAACCTGTTTTGAACTTCGTTAGCTATATCAAATAGATATAACTGCAGAAATCTAGGCCCCTTTACAGCATCAGGACAGAGGGAACCGATCTGATGACTAATTTGTCCTGAAACCTTAAAAACATAAGGACCACGACCATTGTTAAGTTCATCGTCTACAGTGGCGCCAAAAGATGTCATAGAGAACATACTATTATAGGCCCTAATGTCCCTCAGGTTGCTGTCATTACCGAAAAGCGAGATGTATTCAGGTGGAAATGCAGAGGGATAGGGCAGGACAACTTCACCAGACCTGCAACAATGACTATACCTCGGATGATTATGCATAGATAATTTCATACTCCTTTCAGAAAACCAAAAAAAGGCACCACAATACTTGCAGACACAACGACTATCCCCTAGGTCAACATACTGAGGAAGATCGGGCAGAAGCCTCATCCGACCTGGTCGTCGACCACGGCGAGCAGCATGAGCAACCTGAACATAAGGGACAACCGACGTTGAGGTGGCATCACCAGCAACAGCTGAGGGGCCACCATCATAGCAAAGTCATTTCTGCGGATCATACATCACAAAATTTAAACGTAACGAACATAAAATAAAAAAAACTACACTGGGAACGAAAATACACAACATGATAATTAGAAGATAAGAAAACGGAATAGAAAGCAAACATTCTACCTGTACACAAACGAAGGAAGCAGAAGAAGCAAATGGAGCCGTCTGAACGGCGAAAAGGAAAAAAGAGTAATGCAGAGAAAGCAAGGAAACATAAGAAGAAAGAGTACTTAATGCACAAGGCTCGGAAATACGGATAAAGATGAAAGAAATAGACGTGGGATTAGTTGAGAAGAAAGAGCAAAGAAGACCCTCAATAAAATTAATGAGGAACAATAACACCCTTGAAAACAACAAAGAAAACAGAATGACGATTCTTGCCAAATAACAGATAAGTTTACTATTCCTAAAAACTAACCCCCTTTAATATATATCTAAGAATAAATTATTAATTAAAAGATATTTTTTAGTTATATAAAATTGTAGTCGATGATTTAAATAAATACATGAAATTATATCACCTTATAATATATATATATATATATATATATATATATATATATATATATATATATATATATATATATATATATATATTAATTCTAATGTTACCCAAATCGTACACCGCACGTACGTGCATGGTATCTGCGAACCACTTACTTGTGTACACCCTACGTACATGGGGTGGTACGCCCTGCGTACGACACACCCTAAGCCCAAAAATTAAATCCAATGTTATTAATTCTAAAGTTATTAATTCTAATGTTACCCAAATCGTACACCACACGTACGCGCATGGTATCCGCGAACCACTTACTCAGGTACGTCCTACGTACATGGGGTGGTACGCCCTGCGTACGACACACCCTAAGCCCAAAAATTAAGTCCAATATTTTCAACGCCCACAAACCAAAATTAAGCGAATAACCATTTTAAATCAATAAATACCTTAGAATTACTTGGCGTTACATATGATAGGAAGTATGCATATCTTAGCTTTTCAAATTATGTTTTGTGGGCATGATGATCATTGGTACAAATATGGGTAGGCATGGAAGGTAGTATGGGCTTGTACTACTAACAACACAGGACCCGTACATGTAGCATTGAAGTCACAAATTCCTAGTATTGGCCTCATCTCCTAATTGTAGTAATGTGTATTTTTGCTTGTCTGATGAGTTTTGGTTTAATTTCATAATGGTGGAGGTGAGGGGATCAGGATCTGGACCGGGTGTCCAGAATAGACTTGGTTTCAGTAATGAACAAATTCTAGAGATCATTGCCACTAAGGTGGAAGCTGCTATCCGAAGGTTTATACCTTAGATGTTTGGGTCTATCAAGAAAACTATGACTGAGTTATTTACCGATCGTTATGTTGCTCTTATTTAGGAAACTGTTGTCGTAGCCACCGTATCTGTTGCGGTTGCGGCAATCCGTGGAGAGAGAGCTTTCTAATATCGGGACTTCGCCAATACAAAGCTCCCGATGTTCGATGGATTACAGAACCCAATTGTTACGATGAGGTGGTTGCCTGATGTTGAGGGGCGTTTCTTTATATGCTCCTGCCCTGCTGACCAGAAGGTCAACTGCACCTGGAACGTTCTGCGGTCAGGGTTGAAAGAATGGTAACTATCTCGTAAAATGTTGAGCAGAGGGCTGTTGTGACTTAGGAGCAGTTCTCTAAGATATTTCCCATGATTTATGTTCTGTTCATTGAGAGGGAGAGACTGGCATCTGGATCTTGATTTTTCCACTTCTAAGCGAGCTCATATGACTTCGTACTTGAGCATGCTCAAGATAGGTATCTGACAGTTTGTGTCTTGCCAACGACATGGTACTCTCACTAGTCTACAAGAGACCGCAAGGAGGCAGGAGATTGAGATGGAGCTCCAGGTGAAAGAGCTAAGGTAGGCTCCTATGCAGTCACAGCCTACATAAAAGCGGTTCGAGCTCGCTGATTTGAGATCTGGGAGATCAATGGGCTGCACTTGTGGCAAGGGTGGTGAAGTTCATGAGGGTGATTTGTTTGTCTTCTTCCTTTGTATTCTACAATTACAGTTAGGAAGGACGTTTTATGAAGGTCTCTCATCAGTAGGCTCCTTCACTGAGTAGTAGGATCTGCTATCATTGTCCGCACATGAGCTACGTGAAAGCCCAATGTCCCTTACTAGTTGCTAGACCAGTTTAGGGGCCACCCATCTGTAACGCCTGGATCATGGTATGTATTTTAAACCAAATTAGTCATTTTTGCAAAGTGACATGATGAGTTGGAGGCCCCAAACTCGTCGAGTAGTAATGGAACTTGGACGACGGAGTTGAAGTCTACTCGACGTGTTAAGAGCCTCAACTCGACGAGTAGGGTTGCCAGATTGAAGCCCTAATTTTCAGGGTTTGTAGTTTATTTAAGCACCTTAACCTCCAGAGGTTGGGCTTATTTGCAACCTCCATCAATCCAAAACCTAGCCACGAAACCCTAATCCACCTTTGAGTGTTTTTGAGCCCTTTTTGTGTGTTCTTGGTGATTTTGAATCTTGAGAAAGAAAGAGAAGCTTGGAGATTCAAGAGGAAGCTAGTAGATCCGAAAGAAGAGATGTATTTCTGAGTCACCTGAGGTATAAAGTTTATACCTTGGATTTCCATTGCTTAGATCTTCATTTAGGGTTGTATTTTCTTACTTTTGGGTCAAATTGAAGTCATTTTCGAGCTTTGGGTACATCATGAGGTTTTGACTTCAGATGTAGGCACTCATGAGCTTATTAGGCTTAAACTTGCCAAATTTATCATGCCTTGGCCATTCCCCTTGCCCTACATCTCTTATATAACTTAGTTTTGGTGTTTTTAGCTTCATGACACCATGCATGAATTAAAGCTAGCAACTTTACGTGGTAAGTTAGTCCAAGGGGACCATATTTATGGTTTGGAAGCATTAAACTTGACTAGAAACAACTGAATGGGTTTAGACTATGGTGGACTCGACGAGTTGATCATACAAATCGGCGACTTGGGTCGTGGTCCCCCAACCTTTTCTGTTACTGAGCAACCTCGTTGAGTCTAGGAGATGACTCAGTGAGTTGGCCATGGTTTTTAGTTATGAAGATTGAGGAACTCGATGAGTTAAGGGAGAGAATCGGTGAGTTGTGAGTGAAATGTCCCATCTATGTTACGAGGAGGGACTCGATGACTTGGATCGAGATTTCTAGGGTTTATGGATCATGGAACTCGTTGAGTTGAGGGACCAACTCGACAAGTTGAGTCAACCAGGATATTGACTTTGACTAGAGTTGACCCTTAGAGAGGTTATGTGTATAAAAGAGTAATTATGGAGATTTATTTGTAGGATTTGAGAAGAGTTGATTCCAAGAGCCGATGACATTTCAACTACATCACGACATTGAGGTAAGTTACCCTCTAGTAGAAATTGGTTGAAGGCATCAATGTTGACCCACCAGTAGTTGTTTGCAGTTGAGATGATTGTGTTTGTGATAATGGTCTGGTATGCCACTATCTGTTATGCTCTATGCGCTAGAGTGATATGATATTTTTTGATAGTGGTAGGAGGGGTGAAATAGTCCTCGGTTACGAGTTGAAAGAGACCGAAGGGGTAGATAGTATGCATGTATAGTGACAAACAGAAACTTTTCCATTATCTTTACCCGGTTTTCATTAATAAAATTTGAGTTTTTTTGAATTTCCATCAAATTTCTTTGTTTACGGAAAGACTTTACATTTTAAATAAATAATATGTATTTTATACGAGTCGGAATAAAACCGGAAATCCCGCAAAAAACTCGAACTGTCTTGAAAAACAACGAGTTCACGGCCAGGACGAGTTTACGGTCATAAACTCGTGTAAAACTGTAAACCCGTTTATGGTTGGTATCAGGTGGACCCCACCATTGACTATACCCCCAGCCTATAAATGCAGGACCCCCACCCTCATTTGAACCTTCTTGGACAAAAACATATTCTTTCTCTCTCTAACTTCCTTGACCATAAACACCAAAAAGCTCTCATTTCTTCCGAAAAACACCATAAATCATCATTTGGAGCCGTTTGGGAGCCTCTGGAACACATTTTTGCCAAAATCGAGCACCTTTTTTCTGTAGTTTATGGCCGCAAACCCTTTGGATCTTCAAAGGTTGTAAACCCCTTCAACAGACAGTTCACGACCGTAAACCCTGTTCACGGCCGCAAACCCTATTCTTGGACGAAAAGTCAGTTCACGGCCAAAAAGTCAGTTCATGACCTCAAACCAAGTTCACAGCCCTAAACCCTCATTCACAGTTGCAAACACCTTTTAAGTGGTTAAAAGCATGTTCCCTTGATTCAACTAAGTCTTGCTAACATTCCTTAACCGAAAACGAGTGTTTTTCTAGCACTTTATCTAACGAAATCGCTAATTTACATACATATGTATTTATTGATATTAGGATTCCGTTAAGTGCAACGTGCATCACCTCAAGGATCGTCTAGTTCAATTTCTTTACATCCAACCAATAGTGAGTTCGTACCCCTAAGCTTTTATGATTTTAACAAGTTTTCATGGGGGAATACAAGCCAAACACAATAGTTTTCAACAAGTTAAACTTATGCAATTATACCAACTAACGAGTTTCATAAAATATTTAGATTTTTTACCCCTTCTGTATTATGCGGAACATAAGGGACATTTTCTTAACATAATTGCATAGTCTTCAGAAACATTCACAATCTCAACTTTTCAGTCAAACTATAATAGGTATAGTTTAGGGAATTCATTACGAGTTTTACCACTACCAACCTATTCAAACATATAAACTATAACATATTTAGTATATGATACTTATTGCTACGTTCAGAAAACAAGAGTATAATAGTAAATAATTATTTTACATATAATTATTTATACAACAATTTCAACTACGGGAACACGATACAAAACTACATGTAAACTAGTTAATATAGGATTGTGAGACCTCTCTTCAATAGTAGCATTGCGAGGTACTGGTAAAATGATATACACTTAGTATAACCAGAGTCTCCTAGAGGGAAAGCATGAGATTTGTGAGTAGATCTATTCAGGACTGAGAATCCCACACCTGAACTGTTAGCTACAGTTAGGTACGCATGCCCGTGGTGACAAATATCATAACTTACGACACCTTAAGAAAAATTGCGGAGGTCATCGATCATATTAGCATAGTTATACAAACTCACAATATTATAAACTAACCTTTGTTTACTAGATTTCATATCTTCATTAGTTTTATGTTATAAAAGTAGTATACATACTGGTGGTAGCCATGGTTTTTAATAGAACATACATTACATAGTGGTGGTAACCATGGTTTTCAACAGAACATACATTACATACTGTTGGTAACCAAGGTTTTCAATAGAACATATATTACATACTGATGGTAGCCAGGGTTTTCAACAGAACATACACTACATACTAGCGGTAGCTAGGGTTTTCAAATATAATACATTTCACGTACCGGTGGTAACCGGGGTTCCGATACAAACGATATTTACCTATAATGAAAATGAATTATTTTCACAAATTAAGTGACTAATTTTCACAAATTAAGTGACTAATTTTCATTATAAAATCGTCTTTTGGAGAAGACGAAGCATTTTGGAGTCTTGTCTTTTACTTTT